ATCTATCTATCTATCTATCTATCTATCTATCTATCTATCTATCTATCCCCATACACCCTCCTATCTATCTATCTCCATACACCCTCCTATCTATCTATCTATCTATCTATCTATCTATCTATCTATCTACCTTAGTTATTTCAGAGCGCCAGTCTCCAAGGTCCATACCCAACACACCGAAGCAGACTGTGAGGAGTTACAAAGGGATCTCACAAAACTGCGTAACAAAATGGCAGATGAAATTCAATGTTGATAAATGCAAAGTAATGCACATTGGAAACATAATCCCAACTCTACATACAAAATGATGGGGTCTAAATTAGCTGTTACCACTCAAGAAAGATCTTGGCGTCATTGTGGATAGTTCTCTGAAAACATCCACTCAATGTGCAGCGGCAGTCAAAAAAGCGAACAGAATGCTGGGAATCATTATGAAAGGGATAGATAATAATAATATATGGAGATATACCTATCTCATAGAACTGGAAGGGACCCTGAAAGGTCATCAAAGTCAGAAAATATCATATTGTCTCTATATAAATCCATGGTATGCCCACATCTTGAATACTGCGTGCAGATGTGGTCGCCCTGTCTCAAAAAAGATATATTGGAATTGGAAAGGTTCAGAAAACAAAAATGATTAGGGGTATAGAACGGCTTCCGTATGAGGAAAGACTAAAATGACTGGGACTATAGAGTCTGGAAAAGAGATGACTAAGCGGAGATATGATAGAGGTCTATAAAATCATGACTGGTGTGGAGCAAGTGAGTAGGGAAGTGTTATTTACTCCTTCTCATAACACAAGAACTAGGGGTCACCCAATGAAATTAATAGGCAGCAGGTTTAAAACAAACAAAAGGAAGTATTTCTTCACACAACAACCTGTGGAACTCATTGCCAGGGGATCTTGTGAAGGACAAAAGTATAACTGGGCTCATAAAAGAACTAGATAAGTTCATGGCAGACAGGTCTATCAATGGCTATTAGCCAAAATGGTCAGGGACACAACCCCATGCTTTGGATGTCTGTAAACCTCGGGACTGCCAGAAGCTGGGAATGGACGACAGGGGATGGATCACTCAAAATTGTCTTGTTCTGTTCATTCCCTCTGAGGCCAGCACCATCCACTGTCGGCAGACGGGATACAGGGCTAGATGGACCATTGGTCTGACCCAGTATGGCTGTTCTTATGATCTTATGTCTTTGTCCCACTCGAGTGGCTGGTCCACAAAAGAGGATAAGAGCCCACTACAGCAGCCAGCTAAGGAACTTCTCCTTTTGCTCCAGCCCTAGAGGCTCATACCTTCTCATGCTGAGAGAGAGTCCCAGATTTGAACCCCTCTGTCAGCCCAAGAGGGGTAGATTATATGGAGGCCCCATCACTAGGTCAGCCTCCCCCTTTGTAGGTCAGGCTGAGACAGTGGCTGTCCCAGCTGAGGTGTGGTCTCCTCTCCCCACACCTATCAGCAGAATGGGGTTGTATTCCCACTGCCCCAGCTTGGGATGGCTGGTGAGGGACCTGTCCAGGACATCCCTCAGTGCTGCCTGGGGCTGGCACGGCTGTGACGAACCCAACCCCTGTGCCTGAGGGGAGCTTTGCCCCCCTGCACCCTCTCCAGCCATGCCCAGGAGCTCCAGCCAGCCCCCCTGCCCTCCTCCATTCTCTCCCTCCTACAGAATTCCCTGCTGCGGCTACTGACAGCCAAGGAGCGGGAGCGGGCGCGAGCCGCCTTCCTGCCCCTCCACCAGGACAGCCAAGGGCTGATCAGCCAGAGCGAATGCCGGAAAGCCCAGCACACGTGGTTTCGGAAGCACCAGAAGGAGGCCCCGTCCTGCAACGTCAGGTAAGAGGGCCGGGCTGCCCAGAGGGAGAACCCCTTCCCCTGCCAGAGCCGGGGGAGCACCAGGAGGCCCAAACTCCTGGTTAGTTAGCGGAGCAATTCCACCCAGAACCCCTGCTCAGTGTCTTCCCAGCACAGGCCAAAGCGTCAGCCAGATCCCCCGGCACCCCCCCCCAGCAACAGCTCCCACTTCCCTCTGCGTCCCCCCATCTCCCTCCCACCTGCCTGAGAGAGGCATGGGGAGCCCCCCCATCTCCCCTCACACCCCTGATGCCACATGCCCAGCGTGTGAGGCCCAGCTGGAGCCCGGCCGGCGTTTGTCACACGGCTACCCCAGGGCGCTGGTGGAGTCCCAGCCCGGCTCCTGCGGCCCAGGGGCAAAGGAGGGAAATGCCCTTTCTCCTCCGCAGCATCAGCCACGTGGGGCCCATGTCCGAGAGCAGCCCAGCCAGCAGCGGCAGCAGCAGGAGCCAGGAGAAGACCCTGCTAGGCACAGAGCAGGAGGAATCCAGGTGAGCGGGGCGGGGCGTGGGGGGAAGGTGGGTTCTGCCGCAGGAGCCTCCAGGCCCAGGGCTGCAGCGTGCGTTCAGCTCTGCTGGGCTCCCGCACAAGCCAGTGCAGCTTGTTCGGAGGGCCCCTCCCGGCTGCTGTGGGGTGTGGTGTTAAAGGGGGTATCAGAGCAATGTGGGGCTGGAAGGGTCCTGCAGCGCTCACCTAGGCCAGCCCCCTGCGCTGAGGCAGGGCCAGTAAATTTGGGCTCTCCATCCTGCCTGGCCTTAAAAGCCTCCAGTGACGGGGATCCCACCACCTCCCTTGGGAGCCTGCTCCAGAGCTTAACCACCTGAGCATTAGAAAGCTTCTCCTAAGAGCTAACCGACAGCTCCCTTGCTGCGGATTACGCCCCCCACGTGTCCTGCCTTCTGTGGCCACGGAGAACAATTGATCTCTGTCCCCTTTAGAACAGCCCTTGCCACAGCCGAGGGCTGGTATCCGGTCCACCCTCAGCCTGCTTTTCCTCAAGCCTAAACAATACTAGCCTGTTTCACAACGACCTCGCCCCACTGACGGGTGCTCGATGGGCGATCCATCCTACCGCCCAGCCAGTGAGTCCCCTCGTGCACTGGAGTTTTCCTTCCTAAGCGTAGTGCTGGCGAGAAACCAGTGTAGGCTGCTGGAGGTGCCATCTGCCGGGGGAGACTGCGCTGGTACCTCCTTGGGGTCAGTAGTAATAACAGCACTTTTCACCAGTAGACCAGTGTTCTTGCCCCCATTTTGCACATGGGGAAACCGAGGCACAGGGCAGTATAGTGACTTGCCCAAAGTCACCCAGTAGGCGAGTAGCAGAGCCAGGACTAGAACTCGGGTCTCCAGAGTCCCACCCTAGTGCGCCATACACAAGCCCACGCAGAGCCTCAGGCACCTTTTTGCAAGAGTGGTGACATTTTCCAGGAAAACTTGTCTTCAGCAGCTTTCCTGGAATCCACAGAAATCAGCAGCTTAATCACGATGGCCTTCTACTACAGCTAGAGCAGAACTGCACTCCCTCAGCCCGGAGAGTCATGCGGGTGGTCTCCCGTCACAGCCAGCAGCAAACAGATGTACTGCTACACCCCAGAGGTGGCTGCATTTCTGTAGTGTGGGGTGGTGGTGAGGGGAAAGCAGTCTGGAAAGCAGCCGGAGAGTCTCCAGGGTAATGAAAAACACTATAGATATATGAGGCAGACAGTATAATTATCCCACCCCAGTCCATGCGTCTGGAGAAAATGTTCTGTCTCCTATTAAAATCACTGGGTGGTTGAGGAAATTCACCCAGATGGGAAATAACCTCGGTAAGCCGTAGCTCCATGTATTTCATGGCGTTCAGTCCACGCAGAAAGGGCCAGCTTCATCACTGAAGTTAGCAGCGTCCATCAGTGCAAAGCTGCAGGGACAGAGGGCTGAGCGGGGCTCTCTGTGTGCTCTTGCGCCCAGGGAAGGATGGTGTGATGGCGTCCCATTCCCAGGTGGGCGGGAGCGCTCTGCTCTGGTAAAAGCACCCGGCTCGTTAGCAGAATCCTCCCGGGGGACAGATTTCTGCTGGCAAGTGAATACATTTTAAAATGGAATAGTCAGCAAAGCCGCTCTTCCTTTTCGTTCTCCTGCCCAGGAAAGAGGGAGCCGGGGCTAGTGGTTAGAGCAGGGGACTGCGCATCAGGACTCCTGGTTTCTAATCCTGGCTCTGTCACCGACGCGCTGTGTGACCCAAGTCCTTTCCCCACCCTGTGCCTCAGTTTCCCATCTGTACTAGTGGTGCTGGCCTGTCTCCCGGGGGTGTGGGACGACTCGTTCATGTTTGTGAGGTGCTAAGTATTGGTAACTTCAGATCAGGATCCGACATTCCCACGGTGATGGCACAGGCACAGACACCTAAAGCAACTCCACAGCTGCTGCCGGAGAAACCCGGGACTTAGGGGTCGGGCCCTGAAAGGTCGGAGCATGACGCAGCAGGTGGGCGGGCAGAAGACACTGGAGCTGCACCAAGCACCGCAGAAACCAGCTGCTGGGCTGGAAAATGTGCTGCTCTGTGTTTTTGCCATCTGCCGGCCCCCCTCATCGCCGGCTCCACCGCCCTGGCTGCTACGCAGGCCGGGAATCACGGGGGCACCCGAGAGCGCTACCTACGAGCTCCTTCGTGCAGCGTCCCAGTGTGGTGATCACAGCTGCTCAGGGCGGGAGTGCCCCAAAGCCCCGGGCCAGGAGCCTGCCGGCTGCACCGCGACTCGGAGACAAGCACTGAAAAGCACTTTAGCTGCTAGGCCCTGCAGGCACTAGGCTGGCGGTCCCGTCACCACTCAGACAGGTGCTACGGGAAGGCTGTTTTACGGGGGCTGGCAGGAAAGGGGAAGGTAGCCGATACCCTAGGTACCGAGGCTTGAAGAGCAATAGCGGTTCTTGGTTGGGTCTGGGGGGCAGCCCACGCGAGGGTCATGGACGGCTCTTCCGTGCCTGGGCTGCCCTCTCCAGTCCGGGCTCTATTCCGGCAAATAGGCACTTGCAGGCTCCCAGGCAGGATCACTTAGTGGTGTGTCTCATCGGGATCCCTCTGCCCTGGCTCCCTGCCCAGCTGCTGCTGCTGCCCCCTACGCCCCACACAGACCTGCACCCAGCTGTGATGTCCGGCCCCACAGCCTTCCACCCGGGGCTCTGCATCCAGTTCCTGGGGGTTCCTCTCTGCGTCCGGCTTCTCCGCTGCTCCTGGCTCGCCAGGCGGCTGCTGCTTCCCCTAGGTGCCCAGTCAGTTCCCGGTTCAGGGTCTTTCACAGGGCTTCTGAGCCCCCTTACCTGGCCAGGAGGAAGGGGATGTGCAGTGGGGAGGGGGCTGATGGGAAATGTAGACCCCTGCTTAGCAGATCCATCATGCCAGGCTCTGGCAAGGGGACCCTGTGTCCCCAATGGTCCCTACACAGGCAGAGCCCCGATGGAGCGCTGCACGCTGGGATCTGTAGGGCCCATGGCCTTGCTGCTCCGCGGTCAGGCCAGGAGCTGCTGCGTAGCACACATGGGCTGGGCTGGAGACCGAGCCCCTGCCCGCGTGGCCCCCACGCTAACCCCCCTCCGCTCTCCCCAGCAGGCCTGTCGACTGGCCGACCTTCCTGAAGGAGAACGTCATCTACATCCTCGCCGCCCGCCCCAACAGCGCCGCCATCCACCTGAAGCCGCTGGCGTAGCCGCCGCCCGGGACAGGGGCCGGGCGAGGGCTCCCAACCTGGACGATGCATGAGCGGGCGGGAGGCCGGGCGCACGGAGCCCAGTCCTAGCCATTGTGTTCTGTAGTCGCTGAGCTTGCAGCTGGAGGAGCTGACAGACTGCTTCACCCGCTAGAGGGGCTGCCCCGTCTCCCATGGGCCTCAGGTAGCCGCACCCAGCTCCCCCGCTCTCACCCACGTCCCAGCAGACTTCTGATTGGCGGAGCGAGGCCCCAAACCCCGCACCACGCCCGGCCACACCCCCAGCTCAGTAGAGTTCTGGTTTCTGATTGGCTGACAGGGAGCTGCCCCCCCCAACCCGCACACAATTCGGCAGACTTCTGATTAGCGGAGAGAGGACTGAACGCAAACAGTCCAGCAGCGCTCTGGCTTCTGATTGGCTGAGAAAGCCCATGCGAGCCCCCACGTAGCGGCTGGACGGTTTCCAGCGTCGAGGTCGCCCTGTGCCGTGGCTGCGGGTCGGCGGACCTGGCGTGACCGGTGGCTGTGGACTAACGAGCCCCCTGCTGGCCTGGCAATGGCACTGGCGTGCCTGCTGGAGAGCAGAGGGAGGCGTGTTGGCTGGGCCGGGGCCAGCACGGCCTGCGGGGCTGCCCTGCAGCTGGCAAGCTGGGCCGGGCACCATGCCAGCCTCTCCCCTGCCCTCTGGGACCACCCCCGCCCCCAGACTGGTCCCCTCTCTGCTCTGCACGGTGGCTCTCGACGCCCATATTCCAGCTTCCCTGGGTGAACAGATCTCTGGCTGGGAGACCTGGCCACAGAGCAAGAGCCGAACGCCGTGAGACCCCAGCGAGGACGTGGCATACCGGGCCTGGGTCGCCTCTCACCACCCCCAAAAGGACAGCAGTGTGACCGCCACCACGGAGCAGGCCCTGGTCTCTGTCCGAGCGACAGTCCTGCCTTGGCCGGGAGGGCTGGGTGGGGGACAGGGTGGATTCGGGGCCACCAAGCAGAACAGCTCAGTGTCCCCAGGAGCTGGCATGTGGGGAGCTGTTTTCCTCAGGCTGGCCAACACCCGGCCCACCGCTGCGGCTGCATAAACGAGCCACAGAGAACTCCCTTTGAGCAGCTCCACCTCCCGGCCTCCTCCCGGCTCAGGCGCCAGGCGCTGCTCTGCCAGCCAGGGGGCCCGTCAGGACAATCCTGAGAGTTGGGCGGTGTGTCGCCTGCTTGTCACAAGGCCGGATTCCCCTCTCGCTCCCACCAGTGTCAGCTCCGGGGAAGTGAGCCTGGTTCACTGCGGTTGTGGGGGGGAGATCAGGCCCCCTGTGCTTCTGGAGCGAGGGCGTGGTAGGAGCCATAGAAGCGTTGCCGCTAACGTAACCTGGGCCTCGCGCCAGGATGTCTTTCTAGAAGACACTTGCTAGCTCACCCCCCAGTGCCGGGCTGGATGCAGGCGTCACGGGGCAGGGTTAGGAAGGAGGGTCACAGTGGTCCCTTCTGGCCTTGCCATGTGTGAAGAAGGGATGCGAGTTTCTTGTGATTTCTTAGTCCTCTCAAAGTTGTCAGACGCCAGCTACCTGCCTTTACTACACAGCATCGCATGTCTGCGAATTCTGAGACCTCCGTCAGACTTTATGGAATCCGTAGCCACCTGTGACTTCACAGCCATAAGCCAGGATAGAAGTCACGCCCTCCGGCTCCAAAAGCACCGGCCACTGCCCTGAGCCAAAGAAGAATCTTCTTTCATTGTTAGCAGTACAGGAGCTATGACACACAGTGAGCAGTTCCAGTTCCACCCACCGGGGGGCAATGGTGACACATGTGCACTAGCTCTGCACACCTTTCACAGGCACAGTGCTAGCAGCCCCCCACTGGCACTCGGTACCTGATAGCTATTCATAATAGTGCTTCCTGTTCCCTACAAAGAGAAGCCAGTATTGCACCATGATGCAAGATCAGCAACTCATCGGAGACACTATCAGGAGGGGCCAGATTTCCACCCCACCCAGCTTCACCACCACAGAACGCAGCCGCGGGGACCAGTTACCTTCCCCTTGAACGCGAAGGTGCAGCCGGCAGAAAATGCAGTGCCTTGTCCCAGAGACAAAGCAGTGCACACTGGGGTCTGTAGTCTCCGCACCTACGTATTCATTAGGAAGGTGGCCATGGATTCCTCTGGCTACTTGCCCCACAGATCCCCTGCCCCCGGAGCCTGTAACAGGGCCTGGATCACTGGATCACAGGAACCAGCCTGCGTTCATGACGTCTAGAGCCGGTACAGAAGCAGAGATGCCTGAGAGCGGAGATCCGTGGTGAGCAACAAGAGGTCACTGGATCCCCTTAGCCTCCAGCTCCAGCCAGGGCAGGGGCTCAGAATCAGCGGGCTTGGGCCTCTCCGGTAGCAGTGCTGGGCAGAACTGAGGTTTGCTCTCGTCCTGTTTCTTAGGGGAGGGAATGCAGAAGGCGTGAGGCTCCGTGAGCTGCACCAAGAACATCAGAGCGCGCTCCCCCCCGCCTTGGCGGGCTCTGCCTCTCGTTAATAAGCACTTGGCCGTCCCCAGAGCCAGCCGCATATGAGCTGAGCGGCTGCAGCAAACGCTGGCTCAGCTAATGGGAGAGGGAAATCGGTCACAGTTCAACCTAGCGGAGATAAAACGGTTACATCAGGCATGGCCTGCTTCAAAGCCGTGCCCAGCTACCGCCAGAAACAACGTCCTTCCCCACAGCTCTGCCTGGAGCACCGCAGGACTCAGGAGGGAATTGCCACCCATGGGGCATTGTCACGTGTCAGGGGGTTACATCGGAAGCACCCGATAGCCGCCCTTGCCAGAGGCAGGATCCAACTCTCTGGTCCAGTGTGGCAAATGCTTTCGCTTTCGCTTTGCTAGATCTGCCCATGGGCCTGGCTTGGGCAGGCTGAGAGGAGAGGACCCGGCGCCAGAGCCTGCGCTGGAGGAATCCGTCCCGTTGTGATGGGAGGGTCTAGATGCAACCCACCCCGGCGTCAGTGAGTCCATGGGCACTGGATGGCCAGCGGGGTCGCTCTGTCTCCTGGATGACCGCTCACTCCAGATCCTTCAGCTCTCCATTCCTGGGGGTTCACTGGCCAATTCGCCTTGTATCAAGTATATTGGGAGCACAGCAGCTCTTGGTTTCTCAGGGACCTGCCCAGAACATTGTCCTGTTTTCAGAAGGAAGCCTGCCCCGCTGCCTGCAACGCCCCCTCCTGCTCCATCCCAGTTGTCGTTTGAACTATAACCTTCCTCGTCACCGTCTCAGCAGCCCTGCCTCATGTCCACCGGGACGGTGAAGGTAGCCTGGGGCCACACATGATGTGCGTGGGGTGGGCCCGGCGTGGGGAGAGGATGAAGGATTGCTGCTGCTGAACGTAAAAAGATTCAAGTGCACAGGAGTGACCCAAACGGGAGCCCAACCATGCTGTCTATCTAAGGGGTTCCTCTGGCGCCTCTCGCCCCGGGACGTGGGCACAGAGTGGAGCAACACACCCAAACTTTGCCACCGCATGACTCCATTCACACCTTGCAAACAGCTGCCAAGCTGCACCGACCGTGCCTAACCCGGAGCAGATTGTGCCCACCCTCACGTCCCCGGAGGAGACGACAGGCCACAGCCCGCGATGCCCCCCAGATCACGATGGAGCACAACATCCTGGGACCCGCGGTCAGAAAGGAGTGGAGCCGTGGGCAGCATTGCAACGCACCCTCGGTCACGTTCGGCCCGTGGGCGTCCCAGGGCATGGACCGCGATGCCGAGCCAAGGCCGCTCGCCCACAGGTCCTGCTTGTGAAAGCCTCCCCTCCCTGGGGCAGCCCGTTTAACGATGGCAGAGAGGGAAGGAACATGGAGCTGCCCCAGCAGACACCACCAGGGACATGGCGAGAAGCCGCAGTGACACCACCCACCAGGGCTACCGAACGAGCTGCACGTCCGAGCCAGCCCACGTCAGCTCCCCAGCGGTACCTTTCCTCCCCGGGGGAGTCGGGAGCAGCGCTCGCAGCGGGGCCGGAGCGCTCAGGCAGCACTAGCAGCCAGTGTGCCAGGGCCGAGCGCTCCTCGTACTCGCACTCCAAGGCTGGCGCATCGCCGAGTGCACTTCAGTGTTGAAATGAAGGCGCACGTACAAGATAGGAATAATATATAGGGGGGCTCCCTCCCAGAGGCCCACTGCTGAGTTAATGGGACGGAGGAGACACGGGCAAAGGAAAGCTCAGGGACCCGGGGGCAGGTAGCTTCCTGGCTCTTTCTGCTTGAGCCCAGGAGGTAACCAAATGGGGAGCTAGACACATTCTCCATCGAAATGAGGGCAGTCCTGCCTCTGTACCCTCTGCGCTGCTCTGAAGCCCTCAGCCTGCTTGTCTCTGGCTGGTGACCCAGGGTGATGCTCAAACTCGGGGCCCCGAAGGCTGCCCTTCGTTTGCAGAAAATGGAGCTGCATGCAGCCTCCATCAGCTTTAACAGAGGCACAAGCTGCAGAGACTACACGTCCCAACATGCATTGCAGCCTGTGCACTGCTGGGATGTGTCGTCTCCGTGGGCCACGCTGTCTTGTGAATGGAGCTGTGGTGGTGAGCCCCGCGGGCTGGTTGGGGCACTTGGCTCGCTGGCTGTGTAACAAGTGCATGGGTTTCACCCAGCCAGGCAGGGCAACGTGGAGGCCAGGGTCATGGGGGGCTGGAGCCAATGGGTTACCCAAATTCCCACACGCCATGAGGAGGTTGGGGGGCAATGTACAGATAAAGGGGCCCGTTCCCCTGCGCGGAGCCCGCCCCTTCTGCCTGGGCTGCATTTTACCCCCGCTTTGCGCAGGTGCCAAGGACTGCAGCGGGAGTGGGGGCATCAGCCCTCCAGGTTTGACGCTGCCGGCGGCGCTGCTGAGACAGCCCCATCGCCTGCTGTCGGTGGGACCGGGGGAACGGCTGGGGCCGGCCCGCGGGGCGTGAGAAGGGCTGTGCAGCGAGATGTGTCCATTAAACAGCTGTGTCCAACCTCAATAGATCT